GTATAGAGCTCGCATGCCGGATATTTACGATGTGCGATACTGGACTGGATCTTTCCGAAATGTACTCTAATTTTGTTTAAAAAATCTGACTGTTGTAGTGTGGGACGTTGTGCAATGATTTCTCCAGGTAATCGTAAATTTTGGTCAAAGATCATTTCAGCAGGTATGGCTGAAATGTCCCCATTCCGAAGTTAAACTTCAAAACACGACAGGAAGAACTGCTGCTTTGTTTCTAGCATCGTTCAATGATGCCATTTGACTGCGGATGATAAGGCGACTACTGCGGATGATAAGGTGACTACCCAAAAATTTTACGAGCTCGGTGAGAAGCTTAGAAGTGAATTAAGCACCCTGATCACCGGTAATTTGTAAGGGTACACCGAAATGTGTGATACAATTTGAAAAAAAAACTGGAGTAACGGGTGACGGGCTCATATACCTAAGAGGGTATGCCTGGAGCCAACCAGTAGAGCGGTCAATTATGGTGAGTATATACTTGCTAATTTTAGACGTCGGCAGTGGGCCGAGTTTATCTAGATGAATCTGCTCGAACCTACCTTTAGGCATAGCGGTTTTTGTTGCTGATGTTTTTGTGTGTCTGTATACTTTATATTTTTAGAACAGTGTACAATTGCTGGTTCAGATATTAAATTGTTTGTTAAAAGAACACAATTTAATCACGTGTAACTGTGTGGGCATGGCGGATGTTTTCCAGTTTTGCACGTAAGCAGTAGAATGCTTCATAAAGTAAATGGACTTTTATAACTTTTATAATTTCTGCGTAACGAGCAAAAGATTTTCTTAAAAAAAACGGGATTGCTGAAGAGTTTCCACGGATTATTTACGTAATACCGCGTCAACTACGGTCCTAGAGAAGGTAACACCTTATGAAACATGGTATGACGGAAAACCTGCAGGGATGCATTTAAAAACATTTGACTCTATATCAATTTACTTAGATGAAAGTCGGCGAAATAAATTTAAACAACGAGGCTAAGAATGCATTACGGTTGATTATTCTAACATATCAAAAGCGAACCGATTGTTCTACAAATATGTTAATGAGTTAAAAGTACGTGGAGATTCATATTTCATTAAAGCCAAAGAATATGTATATATTGGTATATCACTTAAAGGAGACGCCCAACACTGAGAAATCGTTAATACCAATGGTGAAACTGAAAATGGAAATAATAGCTCGATGAAACTGATAGTGGATTTGAATCAATGAATGTAAATTGAAAACGACGCACGAATGTAAGTTGAAAAATAACTTTTAAAACGAAAATAAATCGCGTTTATTGCTTGTTCTTCATTCATTGTAAAGTAATGCATATTTAAATAACAAGTTCAAATTATATAATATAAAAAAGATTTAAAATAATACAATAATAAGATGAAATTTAAAAAATACTTTTCAATTTTTGGATAATACTATTCGCTTATTTGTGCAATTTTATATAATAATACAGTCATAATATGACGTTTTCATGAAATCAAATTCATGGTAAATTCAAACTTTATCATCTGATCAATAAAGCAAATTGTCGTCACTATGGTCTGTTGTACAAGTAAACTATTAAACCCTACCGTACAGCCACAAATAATTAAAAAATGCTTGAGAATTATTCTTTCAAACTACCTTTCTGGGATGATTTCTATATATTAGTTTGGGGAAAAAGAAATCCATTATTTTTTCGGTAGATGGCTGCACTGATAGATTTCTCGCAAAGTATCGATCAAACAATTTCATATTTATGCTCCTTGGAAAGGTGACATTTCGCAGTAAAAAAAATTCGTTTGCTGTTTTTTGTTTGGTGCATTCAGTTGTGAGTTACAGCGTGTTAAAAATGGAAGTGAACAAAGAGAAAATTCGGTACATTTTACAGTTTTTCTTTGACAAAGGCGAAAATGCAAGCCAGGCGGCTACAATTGTGAATGGTGTTTATGGTTCCGATACTGTAACAGCCAATTATGTGCAATTTTGGTTTCGTAGATTCCGTTCAGGAATTTTTGATGTTAAAGATGCACCTCGCACAGGTAGGCCGGTCGTCGAAAATGTCGATAAAATCGGAGAAATGATCGAAGTTGACCGGCATGTTAGCAGTCGTAACATAGCCCAGGAGCTAAAAATCGACCATAAAACAGTTTTAAACCATTTACATAAAGCTGGATTCAAAAAGAAGCTCGATGTTTGGGTTCCACACCAATTAACAGAAAAAAACATGATGGATCGAATTTCCATCTGCGAAGCCTTGGCCAAACGGAATGAGATAGACCCATTTCTTAAACGGATGGTGACTGGAGATGAGAAATGGATCACATACGATAACCCTGTGTGAAAACGATCGTGGTCAAAGAGCGGTGAAGCACCTCAAACGGCCAGGAAGATTTTGCTATGCATTTGGTGGGACTGGAAGGGGATTATTTATTATGAGCTGCTTCCATATGGCGAAACGCTAAATGCTGATCTCTACTGTCAACAACTGGACCGTTTGAAGATAGCGATTGACCAGAAACGGCCAGAATTGGCCAACAGGAGAGGTGTCGTGTTCCACCAGGACAACGCTAGGCCACACACATCTACAGTGACTCGCCAGAAACTGCGGGAGCTTGGTTGGGAAGTTTTAATGCATCCGCCATACAATCCGGACTTGGCACCAAGCGATTATCATCTTTTTCTTGCATTGCAAAATTTCTTTAATGATAAAAAATTGGAATCTAGGGAGGATTGTGAAAATCGACTACTAGAGTTTTTGCAAATAGAGACCAGGACTTCTATGAGAGAGGCATTTTGAAGTTACCTTTAAAATGGCAACAAATCATACAACAAAACGGTGCATATTGACCCAAATCGGACAATCCGAAGCATGTTAAATAAAGTCCTGAAGTTCATATAAAAATAATGGATTTCTTTTTCCCCAAACTAATATAAAAAAAGCACATACACACAGACGTTTTGCTATGTTAACGCAATTAATCAAATGAAGTCCTATTTTTAAACCACTTTTTTATGACACTTGTCCATCTCTCAACTTTACACAAGTGCTTAGATTTCAAAAAGAGGGAGAAATTTTTAAAATTTGTTCAAATGTTAAATCTAAAGCGGTTGATAATTAATTTCGATTAGCTAGCTTTGTTTAATAATTTTGCAGACATTCGTTGCACCAACAATAATTGTAATTACGTGACTCGTGCTTGATTGAAGCCCACCGTTTTGCACGTAAAGGAAATTAATATTTACATAGAGGAATTCCTATATTGTGCCATATTCGCTAATAATACGAAATTATGGAATGTAGATTACTAGTTGTTTTGGTATAAATAAAGTGTTATATATTTCGTGGTTTCGAAAGTAAAACTAAATAAAACACACATCTAATTCAGATTTGGGTCAACTTTTTATTCAATTTATTATCTGGATCACACAGTTATTGGTGAAGTATAATGTTATCCACAGAACTGGATCCTTTTGAGGTAATTTTCGATTACTTGTCTATATATAAGGGGCAATAGCTCGGTCATATATATATATATTTCGCTATAGCGAACTGAAAGACAAATTTAGCCTAGAATACCAATCTTCATGGGTGAATATAGTGAGGAAATATGTAGGAAAGCTTCAGTTCATGCTTTCCTCTTTTTGACTTCTTTTAGGTGCCGTTGTAGTCTTTGGAACTGCAACGTTGTACTATCTGAATTTTCACTCTCCACCTTTTATAACCTTCCTAACTGTGTTTTCAAAAGAATGCAGTCGCCTCAAAACAAACTGTTAAGACGATGTATGAGTGTTGTCCGCTCTACTCCGGTTCCCATCCTGAGAGTCATCTCTGAAGAATTGCCTGTCTCTGAGAGGGTCTTACTCCTGACAGCTAAAGAGATTCTTAGAGCTAAAATCATCACACTGTCTTTTTTCAGATGATAGTCGCCAAAGTAGATGAAATTTTCAGTAGCTACACAAGCTGTTATTCAAAATTTAATCGTATTTTTGGAAAAGCCGACTCTATCCCAGTCTGGAGCTCTATACAAAGTATATGCACAAAACATCTTAATCCTTTTGTGTTACTAGTCAGCATAAAAAAGAGTTTCACGCAGTTGGCCGCGTGTCGCGAAAAACTTCGTTTATACCACGATTTCATAGTTTATGCTACTGATGGCTCGGTTGGTTAGGGCAAATCAGGTTTCGCCGTGCTTAAGTATCCATTAAAAATACTTGGAAAATTTCAAATTCTGGAAAACCTTTTTTCAACTCATATTAAACTTCTGGCCATCAGACAGCCAGTTCACCTTGCCATATCAAGCGGTATCAAAAAATTTGTGATTTTTTCTGAAAGCAAATTGGCCCTAACCCTAATCAAAAAAAAAAAAAAATCATAATATGAATGTATTTAAAATCCATAGTATGTTAACCGTCTCCGATATTAATGCACGTCATGCGGTCTGGGTTCCAGGACATTATGGCTTTTGTTTAAATGAAAATGCTAATCTTTGCGCTCATGAAGCTCGGCTTCTCTTTATCAAATATCCTTCTAAAGTCTGAAATTATATAATGCATGATTTGGAAGGCAAACATCGAAAGATAGCTAGATCTATGGAAGACCGACTTTTCTATAAAATTCGCCCTATTATGACCTTTAAATCTCTTTCTGATGCCAACTTGACCACAGGGGATATAAAGGTGCTCAGCGGACTCATGTACAATCACACCTATGACCAATTTTATCTAAAAATGGTTGAAATGGTGGAAATCTTTCGTCCTCGCAATATAACTGATCTTAAGCAGCTAACTACCTTCATTAAAACTGTTGAAGTATTTTTTTAAATTATCGTAGTTATATTTTTATTTTGTCTTGTCTAATCGTATTTTTAAGAGTTTTTATAACCCCGTAAATCAATAATTCCTATACAGCCATACCTTGATGTCAAAGTTCTGGGCTAATCTCTAGAGCGGATGTTACTGAATTGTTGTTAGTTGTTAATTATGATGTGCTCGGCATGTTTTTCATTTTGTTTTTATTATCCTGAAACTGCTCAGATGATTTTGTGATAAAATCTGGATATACTTTCATTTATAGCCCTGATCTATTTTACGCTTTTATATATCAAAAAAAGAAGAGAAAATTATGTAGAATTTGTTTTAGGCCATAAAACGATAAATGAATTTGAATATTAAAATGAACGCAATCGATTTACCAGAAATCCACCTTCAATTGCCAATATATAAAAAGTTTTTTTTCAACTAAAAGAGATTAAAGAGCCTCCACACAAATATCAACGGCATCATCTTCATAGGTCGGCGGTGCTGGAGTATCAAATGATCTGCTTCGATTTTCTAGTGGACACAATTATTGTGCAGCGCCCTACAAACATTTGCGGCACTTCCCAGCTTCTTTAGGCTGTAGCAGCTCTTGCGCTCTTTCAGTAGAATTCGCCAGCAACCTACATAAATGCCTACATATAGTTCGATTTTAGGAATGCTAGATATTCTAATATTATTTATAATAATGTTTCTCGTCTTGCAACGGATTTCGTTGTATTCTTTTTTTAGGGGACTCGCCGAAATTCAGTAAGATGTCATCAGCCAAGAATCTATGTGGTATTCACTATGACCTGAAAAAGCATTAGAATAAAGTGATTTTTTGGCACTTTAATTTTTTTTTACAGCTCACCGTATTTGTTAAGTTTGGCGACAATCACCAACAAATTGAAAACATGATTACATTTTATTTGTGACTGTGGCCTTCGTTGTCTTTTGCTTACATGATTACTCCCCTGGTATTCACTTTAGCGTGAGAACAGTTAGGTCATGATAGGTATGATCGGTCAATCCGTATGTACGTGCCATGCATTTTTGAGGTTGTAAATATTTATATTATATTATGCTTATATATTATACATGTAAGATTCAGTAATAGAATCTAATACTCATGCAAAAATGTAATGTTCAATGTTAAAAAAAGGCTCTCAAAAGGCGATGAACGAGTCTGCTATATACAATTGCTTCTTATAAATTTGGCAACTTATGAGAGTAATTAACCCTTTGCACCCGAAGTTTTTTTTCGTTCGTATTAACAGCAACTCGAAGCGATTTTAGTGAAAAGGTCATATTCAGATGTGAGTTTGACGTAAGCATTAAAAGAAAAGTCATCGCTGTATGTTATTATTTTTCTAATTCTTTATGAACACAAATGTTATGAGCGCGAGCCGTGACCGTCATTTGTCACCAACAGCGAAACACCGGAATTCTAGTTTTTACGATTTGTTTTTGTTTTTATGTTACTAACGTAGCGGAGCCCTCGAGATTGAAGACCAATTTTAAATTGCTCGGCTCCGGAGCCCTCGAGTGCGAAATTGGTTAAATGACACTTGCTTTCATTTTATATTATAGTGCGTTTTAAATGTCGTAGATATAAACGAAATGGCGAATACAGCGCAGACAGAATCAAACAATATAAAGCAAAAGATATATAACATCACACAGGATACACATGACTACACACCACAAATACATAACGTTAAACAAGAGATAAATAACATCACAATAGAGGCAAATAGCTATCGAATATGCACACAGGAGCAATTGGAATATTTGGCGTTTGTTGACAAACACCCCGAACTATTACAAAATAAGATAAGTTCAGCAAATCCAAAGCAGTTGAAAAAGCTGTGGGAGGAACTGGCTGGAAATTTTAACTCGATGGCAGGTCGCATGAGAAATACACAAAAATGGAAAAATGTAAGTATAAGTAACCGTACATAAAAGTATATATTCTATTGTGTCCTACACCAAATGTGCGTTTGAGCGGATGTTCGCAACACCAAGAAGGACTGGAGATTGACCTACCTTTTATTACACTTTTTGAATCGAGTTAAACTTGTCTCTCCGTCTACCTGTCGGAAGTGGAATAAAAATATCGGAAAACTGAATGGATGTTGCGGAGATCAAATGAAATTTATTCGATAACAAATAACCCAGAATAATGAAGAAAGTTTACGGATTTTGACCTCATCACTTGATTATTATTACTATAATTACTCCAATTTCACCGGGGCTGCATTGATATTATCACTTATAGTTTGCTTAATAATTCAGGCTTTCTGGTGCTAAAGCGATGATTGTTTCGTTGATTAGGCTTTATTGTACATTTCGGCGGCCATTTTTATCACAAATGCAACACGACCATATTCCTCAATTGACTGGGCCATTCCATAATTACTGGCATGCTTAACATTATTGAAGCGAAGACCACGAGCAATTGACACTTTCATCTTGTTTGCTAGATGGTTAGCCAAAGCAGTTTTAGCCTGAATAAGGCAAACGTTTGGAAACAAGAGGAGATTAAGAGGACAATCGCAAAGCAGTAAAGACAAAAAGGAGTGGAATGAACAAATTAACAAAAAGCAACAGCAACTTAGGCATGTTCGACTAATATTAGTTATAGAGAGCTACCAAATATTTTGAACGACCATCCAAGCTGAAAAGTTTTGCACAACATGTAGGTAACTGCTGTCGTAATTTCACCAAATGTACATATTGTGATCGTTTATTTAAAAATCGTGCACTGTAAGTAATTACAATTTGTAAAACTGCGAACAACACCTAAAATACGACAGCTGTTAATTTTATATCTAGATTAATTCAACAACGCCGCAAGAGTTATAATATAATATTAACTGAAGAGGAAATTGCTGAAATCTTGCGTGAAAGACTCGGCTATACGAACCTCCATGATTTTAAAGTAACACTTTCAGACGCGAAGTTTCGGCGAGCTGACTTAGAATCAAATTCATTTTTGTAAATACCCTTTTATAATTTTAACTGATATATAAAAGGAGAAATAAAGTGATGATTAGTTTAAGGAAACTAATCAATTTTTCGTAAATCGTATGATAATGTGATGCTCCGTTTGATCAGTAGCAGTGAACGATTTATTAATTGGTGGCCATGGTTTCCACTCAAATTTGAGAATAACGATCCATTGTCATTCGTGTCATTAGTTTCATATGCACCGGATTTGATATTTTTATAAGAATTCTTACAAAAAGTGAAGAATTCTGTTGTGTGCTTGTAAGCGTGTTAAAGCCAGTACATCCTCTCTTTCTCTTAACCGATTTACAAAAAGCAGTGTTCACCAATAAGAACAAACGCTCTTTTTTACACGAGTTTTCGTTCTTAAATTTCAAGAATATCCATTTTTTAATTCAAATTTTTACGTCGTCTTAGAGAAACTTATGTATGCAACAATAAAATGTGTCATTTGACATATCTTCTGATGATAGCATTTTTTGTCTAATCCATAGTAAACGTGCACGCTTGTTATCAAGTTTTTGTATGCGGTACTTTTTAACTCCATTTTCATTGCGTAATAAATTTAATTTTTTTTTTTTTTTTGGAATGAATTGCTTTTAGTTTATGTAATATGAACTTCTTTATTGCTTTCCTACATGATTTCTGGAGAAAAGCGGCTTTAAACAACCAATACCAATGCAAAACACCAGTCATTTTTCCCAAGCCGGTTTTGCCAATTCTGAAAGAGCGTTTCTCGTACCTCCTATGTGGTCGAAACTCTGAAATGGGACCATTTGTTGAATAATTGTTCCAATATTTGTATAAAAATTTTGCCATGTACGAGAATAAGCGTATAAAAATTTGGCCATGTAGGAGAGTAAGCGTATAAAACTGAAAATGATTCTCAATAATTGTTCAAGTATCTGTATAAAAATTTGGCCATGTACGAGAATAAGCGTATAAAAATTTGGTCATGTAGGAGAGTAAGCGTGTAAAACTGAAAATGATTCTCAATAATTCAACAGGTGTTTGCGTGCATGTGAGAATAAGCTTCGCTTGCCATGGCATTCCTGATGATCGGTGTCTAATGGATGGCGACATTGTTAATGTTGATATTAGTGTCTATTATGGTGGCTATCATGGATATTGTTCGAAAACTCCTCTAGTGGGTAATGTTGATGAAGAGGGTTGTTATTTGGTGAAAACCACCGAAGAGTGCTTGAATGATTGCATAAGCTTATGCCGGCCTAATGTAGAATTTAATGCTGTAATACTACATTAACAAATTTTGCAAAGAAATAGGGTTAATTGTCATTCCCGCATTTATAGGATACGGAATAGGTACTTATTTCCATGGGCCGCATTTTACAGTTTAGTAAGAAGTAGCATTAGAAATTGCAACCATATGATGTATTAATAGTTTTTTTTTTTTTTTTTTTTTTACTTGAGAAAACAATTTTCCCGGTGCCATGCAGCGGGTGGTATGACGTTAAAGGAAAGTATTGTATATTATACAACCATACTATCTAATCATTGACATTGTTAGCACAATATCGATAAGAAATCAATAGCATTTGCTATCACAAAACAGCAAAGCAAAAGAGTTATACCGATTTTGACTTTCGGAGGTCCTGAGGTGGAAATTGAAAAGAACGGCTGGGCAGCAACAACGTTGGACGGTGCAAGAACAGCACAGTTTGATCATACTATCCTTATCACTGAAACTGGGGCAGAAGTGCTGACAAAACCTAGTTAACACCATATGTATGTATGTAATTAATGCCAAACAGATTGGCCGCAATGGAGCTTCGATTATACTGTCACCAAGTAGTTGTAAACAAATTTATGTACGGAGATAATCAGCACATGCTGTGGTAGCAAGAAGAAATAAATCAACACAAAAGTTATGATAGCAAAAGTAGTGTGAAATCAAATAATTAAAACAAACAATTCAAAAAAATTTTATGACGTCATCGGAGATCCTTTATTTGAAAAGTATTCTTTAATATACTTTAAACAAACAATCTGACAAATTGAAAATAAATCGCCTTTGTTTCCTTTACCACTTCCTGGAAAATAATATGAAGTATGAATTGAAATTCCTTATGTTGTAATATAAAAAGAAGAGGTAAGAATAATATCTTAAGAAATATAGAATTGGCTAAACAGCTTTTAAATTTGAAATAAATGCTTTTTGTTTATTCTTTCACCTTTTTCTTCTTGTTATATTTCTGAACAAAACCAATTTGCTAGTTCTCATGTAGTACAATGACGCGGTAATCCGTTTTTCGTGTTAATAACTTCCAAGTAGAAAGCACGATGGAAAGCTGATTAACTAAATTATTTTGTAAAAGAAAATAAAACATTTGATGTAAACAAAAACAAAGAAGTGGAGCGAAAGAAATCAACGTAAATGTAAATTACAAGTATATGAAAACCGGCGATAAGAAAATTGATGTAAAAGCAAATAAGTTTTGGGCTGGTGCATGAAATGGAGAAAAATGAATAAAACAAAACAAGTAAGAAAGTTGTATTGGGCGGGGGCTGAATCTCGCATACCCACCCTTTGCTTTACGCATTCAACTATCCAAGTTCTTTTATTTGACATCCATATCGCTTGTATTGTTAAGAAAAAACTAATCGCAGTGTCTATTTTATTCATCTTAAAATTAATCCATTTTTAGGCATATAATATATTTTTATATGAGGAATTTACGAAGTAGTTTTAAATATTCTGTCTTGTCTGCTTTATTATAAATAGGCATAAAACTTTAGTGAAAAGTAAAAAAATTCCAAAAATTTTTGTTAAAAAAAAGGAGTTGGGTTCAGTTCCGTGGCATGCTTGTGCTATGACCAATGTGGCCCATTTTCAACACCAGCCTGCGTGCAAAAACTTTCAATGTTTTTACCGAATTTGAATTTTTATACAAACACATGTTCAATTATTGAGAAGTGTAAACAAATGTGGACTCTAGTTGAGATTTGGGTGTTACATGTATTATGAAAAAGCAAAATGAGTAGACCTCCTTCCTTCAGTGATAGGTATAAAAAAAAATAATTCTATACTAAAATAAAAGAAATGTTTTGTTTATAAAATAAACTGTGAATACATATATATATATATATTTTTTTTTTTTGTTTTTATTTTTTTTTTACGTCTTCTTATCTCAAATAGGAAATATTAATAACTGCATTCTTATGAGGAATGAATATACATAAACACTAAAAAAGCTGTAACAATATAAATATTGCAGACATAGTGGCAGACTACTCGATCTTTGCTTTGCCAACTTCCCGTAAATAGTTGTAAATCGCTTTCCACATTTTAGTTTATCTGAGTATCCGTATCATCCCGCAATTGGTATTTCCTTTATTACAGGCAAGATGATCCCTTAAACTACTTTAACGTGGCAGATCGAAGTTCCGCCAACATATATTATGCATCCGTTCCGATCAAGTAACCATGCCCTCGAAGCAAGTGCCTACCATGGTTAAACAAGACATTTAAATATTACAAAAATAGGAAAAACATACTTTTAAAAATATATATGAAAAGTGGTTCTGCTTACAACTATTTTGCATATTCCGCTGCATGGCATAGATTTAATTACCTCAACCACCAATGCAATGTTATTGGAGATACTTTCAATTGACAAAGTCCACGCTGCTTGTTAATCCTAAATTGGTGATTGAGGTAAATAAGTCTATGCTTTGATGCAGAGCAGCCAAAATAGTCGTAAGCAAAACTACGTTATATTAAAAATAGTCTGCGAACAACGATTTGCGATGCTGTTCATATATAAGTTAACGTGTTTTGTCGGAATTAAGATGTTGATGATGATGATCAAATTTTGACATGGATAAACAATTTTCTTTCTCACGTATATAGCTTATATGCCTTTATTTTAGTATGTAAGTAACTTATTTCTTATTAAATGAGTTAGATGAATAAATCAGGTCAAATCAAAACCACGCTGTTTTCATTCCTCTAATCGGTGTTCTGGTTCAAATGCTAAAAGAAACAATTGTAAAAGTAAGTAAAATTTGTTTTTAAATGTCGAGTTAAATTAAAGATGTTCCCCAATGTGTACATTTCCAGGAAAATGTATTTTAACTTCCTTTTATGCTCGTTCATTGAAGAAAAGAACAAGGGTAACAGCGACGCACAAGAAGGGATCACCACGGGACGAGCGAGACACTACTTTAAATCGAGTAAGTACGTTATTTCTAATATTTGCAAACGGTTTTTCATTACTTTCTGAGAAAAATTGATATGAATGGCGGTATGAGGAGTTCCAGCGGAAAGTAATGTCTTTAACCAATTACACTGTACCAGCAACAACTGATGAAATTGGGACGAACAACGAGTCCAAACGTTTGCCAAAATTAAGAAGTTTTCAGCGTAATTATATTCGTTTCCTTGTGGAAAACTACGCTCAGGAAACTTAGGCAGCATTTAACTGGAAAGTGCTACACTACTCGCCTCAAGGCTGGTCGCAGTCGTTCACTTATTGTCTATTCAAGGAGGTTTTCGCATTTTTACGGTGATAACAACATCTGCGAGTAAGCGTCCACATGTATTTACAATTTTCAATAATTGAAAATGTGTTTGTTTATTAACAGCTGTCGCACGTATAAAAATTGCGTCCACCTGAGCGCCCAGATTCCACAAGTTAAACCGTCCAGATTCCACATATACGGTAAATAAACCGCCCAGATTCCACAAGTACGGTATTGTGTACTGTACTATGAATAAAATAAATAAATAATCGGTTAAGAAATTACCACCGTTAGCTGTTATAAGAATTTTCAGTATGTTAAAGAGCTCTTTTTTTATTTACAATGTCAATACCCTGTCACTTTTTTTATACATACGGGAACTTCACTCTCCTTTAACTTGTTTTCGTATATCAATAATTAAATCAGGTAACTGTTTAGCATCGAACAATATATAGTCTTACGGTAAGGGATTATAGCTCCCAACTATGCAATCCTGCACAAAACTCATATTCTGCTTAAGAGATGGAAGTAATGCTTAGCGATGGAAGTAGTGCTTATCGTTAGACAATTGTTTCGAATGAGACATCCTTTTATATCCATCACCGAAGGATGAGGGTTATGTTCATTTTGGCAAAACACTTGCAACGCTCGGAAGGAAGCCTCAGACACCCCATAATGTATATGTATTCTTGATAAACATCAAATTGTAAATGGATTTAAGCGCATCGGTCTGTCCGTCTGCTCACAGCACCACGACAACTGATTTGTACACATGTCATGTGAAAATTTGTATCAGGCCTACGGCCGTTTTTGTCCAGTACTAAGGAATAATGGTCAAGCTGTTTTGACAAATGAAATGGGCCAAGTCAAGTTGCAAGCAATTAATGTTGACATTGCTCGCCCGTACGCTACTTCCAACATTACAACGGAAGGACAGACATATTTTCCTTCTTCTCCGACACAGGGCATAAACGATGTTATAAATTACTGAATGGAGTACGTATCGCCGGCTTAGCCATGAATTTAGAAATGTTGACTTCATGGGTTATCAATGGCTGGCCTGCAGCGATCTCGCCATAAGTGCTGCACAAGGCCCGTTATTACCTGTTCTATTAGAGATTTGACAAGAGTTGGGAGCAAAATTTTCTGCGGATTGAATCCAATGTATCGTGTAGACGATACGTGGGTGTGATTTTACCAGAAATTTGGTAGTCAAGGCAACAAGTAATTGATCTTTTTACGCCTCTCTCAGTAATTAATGCCTTGTAATGGAAAATTTTAAGGAAAGTATTGGAAAGCTGGCGACGATGGCACCTGATTAAATTCCTGGCGATAATGAATATGATTACCCGCCTGACAATTCCAGTCAAGTGGGGAGTTACGCGCTGTGGCGTTGTTTACAACATGAGAGCATAAAGAAAGGAATATTAGTTATCGACGTAGATAAGGGCTATCTCAAAATTACGTATATTAGATGCCTTGAATTTAGGGCAGTGAGTGGGTAATAAGCAATTAAACTTTTGGTTTTACAATAAACTATCATTATAATATTTTTGCTATTTATTACAGCGATTAGATGGTTGATGAAGCGCAGGTATGCTTTTCAAAGCCAGCGAAAAATTAAGAATTTGGATTAATCAGAATAGGAAACACAGCCTTAACGAAATGGAGGTAATTTGAATTTTTGTAAATTAGCAACTTTCTTTTATACATAAATCTAAATATTTCTTCCTAAATTTGCGACCACGAAATGAAAATGAAGGCAGTCAATTTCAAGTTTCCCGAATCTTCCCGCGGTATGCTTGTGATAAAATCCTTCGTGCTTGTTAATCCGAAATATTTTTTTAAATTTGTCAACTCCGGAAGAAAAACCGCCATATATCCCACGCATGTTTCTTTCAATGGCGCTGAGTGCTCTGACGATATTGTAGTCTCGAATCTCTTCGCTGAATACTTCCGACGAAAATTTTCAACTGCTAATTCCGATTCAACTGTCAAATATCCGTGTCGGATATCTAGCACGCTTCTGATTCCTAATTTGATCATTCCAGAAAATGATGGGGCAAGTTCTCTAAAATATAATTCTGCGCCTGGGCCTGACGGTATTCTATCATGTATGCCTGAAACACGCTCTGGCACACTATGTGGTACTATTCCAACGATTTTTAACCATTCCTTGAAATCACGCATTTTTCTGTTTGTGTTGGAAGAGTAGTTTCCTTATTCCAATTCACAAATATGGAAATAAACAACACGTGGAGAGCTACAGAGGCACTGCGAAGTTGAGTGTCTTACCCAAAATGGTCTGAACGAATTGCTACTCAGCATCTAGGTTTTGCTATTAAATCTTACATTTGCCCATTTCAGCACGGCTTTCGAAAAGAAAAATCTACTGTCACGAATCTCTTAGAGTTTACTTGTCTTATTTTCAAGTCTTTTTCTAGTGGCTCTCGCACAGATATATCATATATTAATTTTAGCAAAGCTTTTAACTTAGTTAACCATAATTTATTGACCTTCAAATTCCAGTCCTCTGGCTTCCCTTTCTACTTAGCGAAATGGATAAGTTGGTATCTGCATAAGAGATTATTCAGCGTTCTGTCTAACTTCATTACCTTGGATGAAAATTGGTTGACGCCTGGCATCTCTCAAGGTAGCCAATCAGGATCCCTTTTATTTAATTTATACATTCATGATCTCCCCTCCGTGATTAAATCCAGCCAGATCTTAATATACGCTAACGATGTTAAATTGTTTTCTTCCCTCCCCTATCAGCTTCAAAAAATGCAAGAACCTTACTTCCTTAAGAAAGAAGTCATTCCGTACTGAGTATTTCATAGGCCCACAACAGTAGGAAAACGTCAATTCGTTCGTCGATTTAGTTTCTATTCGACCAAAGATTAGGTTTTAATTTGCACATTGAGCTCTCTTTAAGTAAAGCTAGGTTCACGGTTGGTAATAAAAAAAAAGGAAGAATATTAGATTATGCGATAAAAATATTAGGCCACTAAAACACTTTTAATTCAAAAACTTTAAAGATAAAAATATAATTATGTTGTTATATTTGCATAATTTTTACACGTGAATTATTTATATTCTTAACAAAAATTAATTTTCATTAAATGGATTTAAATTTGTATCATACTCTTTATCTGCGATTCTCGTCATATCTTGGAAAGGATTCGTCATTTTGACGTTAGTGTTATTAGTGTTAATAGAACGGTTATGCATATAATTGTCATCATTTTTCCAGATCCACTTCATAGGATTTGTTTTGTCTTCAATATCATTTTTGTAAAATATGCCTTCTTGTATAGCACACGCAACGGTTTTCAAACCCCCATTACCATCATCTAATAACTCTTCACTTAAAGGCCTTCGCTTAGTGGATTTCACAGTGGCTGCTGGAAGACAGCTGATGCATTCGTTTCTTTCTGGATAGGAATTAAGGCACGCTTTGTGGAACGTATGTTCACATAGAAACTGCACTATAGGCAATTTAATAGGCTGCTTACATATTTCACATACACTACCACGAAATTCAATTGGTTTTTTAAGAAAATCTGCCAATAAATTTTTTAATTCACCTAATTTCAAATTTAAAGCGATTAAGATGTGTTTAAGTTTGCTATTTGGAAATAAGTCTGGTATCCTATCCTGTGTGAAAATATCATTTACGTGGGCAACGGAAAAATTTGTGTTAGTCGAAAGACATTTAATACTTTTCAATGTGTTATCCACACTAGAACGAACTAAGGCTTTAAATATAATATTGGTAAATTCAAAAGGTTGTCTGAAAGAAACATTCTTTTTGCTTAGAACATGCAACCATAACTCGTGATATCGATTAAATGCCATAATATCTAATTTGTGTTCTGTAGGGTCGTTGTAATTCCTTAAAAAGTATTGAATCTTCAAAAAATTTAAATCGTCTTTATCGTGCATCAACATAATTCCTTTCCAGAATTTGTATTGCCTACATATGATAAGTACATCTGCGTCTATCAAATATTCTTTGTAAACTTGAAAAAAATCGAGCACTTTAGAAACATCAATTTCTGAACATTGCCACTTACGTAAAAGCAGCTCTAGCCAAATACTATATATGGCTTTAAGATTTCCGTTGGAACTGGACATGTGTAGAAGCTTTAGACAACATTCATCATCTTTAAGGAAAATAGGAAGTAGGTATTGGATGATAGGCTCGCAGGACATTTTTAAACTGAGAGTTGTGATAGCTTCGTGGACATCTTTGGGATACTGAATTATTAAAGACCCAGCGTATTTTTTGAAAAAGTTGAAAACTTCTTTCTTATCCATATCAAATACTACCTTGCTTAAAGCATTTAAATTTGAAACTTCTCTATTAATGACAAGATAACCTATTTGATCGTTCTTTTGTAAATTTAATTCAAAAAGGTTTTTAACCTTTACTGGAAGATTAAGACGTTTATAACAATTGCGCAAAAGTTCCTCATGATCCTGGCTGCCATATTTGGTTTTCGTTACCGCTTGCAAGTATTTAATCAAGTGCTCCTTATACTTTAAATCTATCAATTTCATAATAATTTTAAAAGGCAACACTTCGCCAATTGTATGAATATACATTGCTACTGCTTTGTTGATATCTCCGCGCAGTAACATGCAATCACCGTATCTGACATAAATATCTGCCAAGGTTCTGGAATTTAAATCTAAAGAATTAAGAAGTTGAAATGCGAAATCGTACAAGCTTTTATCGAGTAAAAGGCGCAATTTGGTTTTAATTTGCCGTTCCCTCAGTGTGAGAACGCTTTTGTTTTTGAGAACAATGTAACAATTGGCGTAGCAATCTTTTGGTAACACAGCTTCAACCGTCTCTATTTCCTGACTGAACACTATAATTTTGTTTTCGATGTCAATTATCACTAAGCGACTAGAATATGACATTGGTTTTGGTTTACTTTGTTCCAAGACGACAATCAAATATTTTCCAAACGACTTCAAAATCTTCTTTCGTCCGTCAATCGCATAACAAGGTCCTCTGCCATCCGCAGTATAACAATAAAGAGCATCATCTCGTCCGACTACAAAATAATGTTCGTTTTGTAATGCTTGTACAGTGCAACAGTGCACCAATGCCGACTCATTGTCTAATACAACTTTCAATTCCCGCTTATTTTTGGACAATGAAAAGCAGAATATACCTCCATCTGTGCAAACGAACATATTGGTTTCATCATAGTTTGACAAGAAAAAATCGATCCCCTTAATAGGTCGTGTGCACACGTGCAATTTACGAAAATTTGTAGTCATATCGCGTGATACATTTGCATCATGAAGTAGAACATTACCTTTATCAAGGCCGATTGCAATAAATAGGTAGGAGTCAGTCATAAATGCCTTCAAAACGGTGACTTCATGACAGCACTCCAATTGCGCTATTCCAACGAGTTGTACTTGTTCTCCTTTAAATATTTTGTTTAAGTTATATATTTTCAAATTTATATTATGAGTCACAAGACTTTGCTCGAGCATTATGAAAAAATTTGTTTCAGTTATTGTACAGCAATCGACGGACTCGTTGGCTGTGTTGAAATATTTGCAATCCCAATCTGTTGAAAATACATAGATTCCGCTTTTACTGTCGCAAAATATATTATATGTTCCATTGTGGCAAACTGCTATCAACTCATTATTCCTTAGGTTTTTATTCGGAGTATTTACGTGACATAATTTAAAAAAATCTACTAGCTTCCACTCCATACACATAGTTATCAATTTAAATATTTTTATTGTCCACTGTTGATATGTTTTGTACTACATATTGACATATTTCTTAAATGTAAAAACGATTTCGACTTATCGAACTCCGATAAATTTACTAGTGCAATTATGTGAAGCCAAAAGAAAAATTAGAACGTAAAAAATGACATAAGCAAATACAGCAACATTGTCGCGGGCGGGTTGCAGTTTTATGACATATCTGTCGTAACTAAATTTTGGCTTATTAAATGTTACATTAATTCAATTAAAGAAGACATAGTACTTCAGTGAAACCAAAAAGATTTTTTGACTTTCTAAGAGTGAGTTTATAAACTTGCGCTGTGTAGGCAGTCAAAGTTTATATATATTCGAGGCTTATATGCCAAGTCGTTTCATTTTTAGGACAAAGTGCGGTCTAAAGCGCAACATCTATGTTTCGGAATGTAAAGAAAAGAGATAACTTTAGAAGAATTACCATCCCACGGTTTCTATATTTTATTATTTTAAATATGAATGTTAGAAGGTAATTACTTATGAGAAATTTTACTATCGCTCTTTTCGGGCTATCGTTACTTAGTGCACAACAACGTTTAAGTCGCTAGGGGGAGCCAGAGATGCACCTTGGAGTCAAATTAATTTCTTATAGGGTATTTTAACGGCACTTGTTGAAAAAAAATTCAAACGTGACGTCGAGGGCGATTTTTATAAATTTTTAGTGTCTATATCGAAAGTCTCATTCTATGTTAAAAAATAATATTAAAAATTATGTTAAAAAGTGGTTTAATTATTTTTATAATGATAAATCTCTATTTTTATACTATGAAAGAGAACAAAAACAGAAACAAAAGGTTTTTTAATTATTTTAACAATCTCAATACATCCGAATAAGTATTGTCGCCATATTTGGGTATCTATTCGTAAGAACTTTGTTGACAACAGATACGCCTTTCTGATCATAATCAACTGATAACAGTTAGCCAGTATTTTGGCAACGATGCTAAACAATTTGAAATTGACCAATGTGAATGTATTGACTATTGTATTGACCGCTCTAGTCTTTCATATACTTTGTTGAGCGCAGACTGTTGTCTGTTTTACGTTAACCGCGACGTTACCACCATCTTTTGAATGCATCTCTGTTGTCAAGACGTGGTGTTTTGTTTTGTCAAATGCCAAAAAAAACCAGCTAACGGGTTTTTTCGTCAAGTAGAACAGTCTTGTGGAGGTAAGTGTGTGAAGAAGAATAATTCATGCAAAGATTTTGAACAAAAATATAATTTGTGTAAAACAAAATCAAAGAAGCGGAAGTAGAAAGTTGAATTTAAAAAATTAAAGAATTTTGCATCAATCAAGAACAACAACCTGACTTTTGTTGCAAAATTTGTTTGCGTATAGTCCTATTCCTGTGATGCATTTGAGTGCAAGTGAGTGTATTTTTTGAATTTTTATATTTAAAAAATTGGAATTTAAGGCATTTTGGAATTGAACTTTTATTTAATGTACTAAAAGAAATGTAAT